TATTTCATTCGCATTAATTTAGACTGTGAGTATAAAGATGATTTATAAATCGATGGAATTAAAATCATGAACATAAACACTTATTCATAAATACTCTTTCATATTCATAATATTTACCATTCATTATTTCATTCTCATTAATTTAGCCTGTGAGTGTAAAGATGATTTATAAATCGATGGAATTAAATTCATGAACATAAAAACTTATTCATAAATACTCTTTCACATTCATAAATACTTGTTTATTTTCCATTTATTATTTTCATATTCATAAATTCATAAATACTTGTTTATTTACCATTCATTATTTCATTCGCATTAAATTAGCCTGTGAGTATAAAGATGATTTATAAATCGATGGAATTAAAATCATGAACATAAACACTTATTCATAAATACTCCTTCAAATTCAAAATATTTACCATTCATTATTTCATTCGCATTAATTTAGACCGTGAGTATAAAGATGATTTATAAATCAATGGAGTTAAAATCATAAACATAAGCACTTATTAATAAATACTCTTTCATATTTACTTATTTGCCATTCGTTATTAGTTAATAGTTATCTTATTTACGGTAATAGGATGATTGCCAAAGTTATCCCGTCTATTAATTCTAGTGTCGATTCATCAACAACCAATATAAGCGTCTACTTCTATTCTCCCGTTTATTTGTCAACTGGCAACATCACTATCTATAAAGCATCTGATCAAAAAATTAGACAAACAGTTTCAGCAACCTCTGAGTTCTGTAAACTTAGTGATAATGGGAGTGTTGTTTATATAAATATCGTTAATAGCACATTTAATGAGTATGGTGAGAAATATTATGTGAAAATGGATAATAATTTTGCCAAAGATAAATATTATAATGAACCCTTAAGAGGAATCGAAAGTGATGTTTGGCTTATTGAATCAGGTAGCTTTAAACGTATTCTTTGTTTTTAAATATATCGCTATCATCTATTTTATCTTCTTTATTCTTTTAAATTATTTAGTTTATAGAGTGCCTCCTTCAGGTATTGGCATTATATTTATGTATAACATGCTTCACACGATTCTCATTATATTTCCTTGTAGAAACTGCTGCTAAGGGTTTAGCAGTTCTCACTATAGATGCTTCCAAAAAATTCTTGGCATTATCCAGAACCAATCAATCTGCATACTTTGACAAACTATTAGATGAGCTTGTATATAAAATACCAGTTAGGCGGGAGCGTTTGAGTTCAGATGAGAAATTCCAGAATTTTGATGAATTTGGTCAAATCGTCATTTCAATCCGTATAGATTTGCCAATTAATGAAAATGAAAATACTGTTCCGGGAGTATTTTCAAATTTAAATAGTATGATTCTTCACAAAAACATCACCATTTTCTCCGCTGGTGTGACAAATGATTTAAACTCGACTCTTGGCTTTCGACCAGTAGGTGAGTTGATGACTGCATGCTAAATATTGATAGGGTTGAATTCATAACTAATTTTCCTATAATAGAGAGTCTATGGGATCAATTTAAATCACAAATAATTGGTGCGATTGGTGCGATCGCAGTTTTTGCAATATGTTTATTTTCTCATATATTATTGAGTTATAAGCTGAACTCGAAAAAATTTGAAGCAATAAGTTCTGCAATATTGAGGCTTGGATTAATCATCCCTAATTTCATTCTTTCAATTCTCTTTATCGTTTACGATTCTAACACTATATCAGTGCTTCATTTTTCAAGGTATTTCTTATCAAATACAATTAAACTAGTTTTAAATTTATAATTAATTTATTTTTAATTCTTGCCAAATCAACAAACACATAAAGTATGCTCTTATTTAACGTTTCGTTACTCATAAACTTCTGTATAGCTATTTACACTGTTTACAATGGAAGAATTAAGTATTCTGACTTTAAAGAATGGGTTAATCGTAGGCGTGAATTAGTAGCTGTGTTCATTATATTAGCGGTAACTGATCATGAGTATCTGACAATTTTGAAAGATGCGCCTAGATTTATTGAAGTAGCAATTGATTATAAGTATTTGACGATTATGAAAGATGACCCTGAATCCGAGAAAGCAAAAACTGATTATGAATATCTTAAGGTTTTGAAAGACGAGCTTAAATCTGATGAAATCAATCAAATCAAAAAAATTTATATGTTTAGGCAGATATTTAAGTTCGCAATCATATACGGAGCTTTATTTGACATTTTTAGGAATATTCTGCAGATTGTTATTCAAGTGAGAATTCATTATTATAATTTATTTGTAAAACTTTTTATTTTTATTAATTAATTTTCTTTTATATTTATTTTTAAGGTTATTTATTACAATTCCGTCGTCATTATATATAGTCTAGTGCCATTTCTTTTATTATTTACTTCTTGCCTCAAGATTTTCATGATAATAATTAGATTTATACACATAAGAGCAATGTTGTATATATATGAGTGAGTGTAAAATTTATTTTGTACTCTGTTTTTAAAGTTAGAGTTTCTTAATACATTAATATGTCTTTCTATCAACAAATCATTAGGAGGTTGGCGTAAAATTTTATACCATTCATTAATTATAAACTAAATGTTACATCCTAACTTACTTCCAAAATATTTAAATTTATATGCACTAAAGGGAGTAAGTATTAAAATT